GTGTATGGGGAGCGGCGACCAGAGTTTGATACCTCACTCATGGCCAACATTGATTACGAATATCTGAACCAGTCCTGGGCCTAACCCTAGGTCGACCCAGCCTCAAATGAGTACCTGGTGCGATGTGTAAACATCTCTACGAGGGAGGCAAAGGCGGCTGGGCGTGCCGCTGGCCACCCACCCCCTCATGTACCATTCATAGGTGCTCGCTAACAGCACTTGCCTCCAATAATTCTATATGGGGGGGGGGGGGGGGGTCTTTGTGTGTGTGAGAGAGGGTATAAATAAAATCAATAGAAATCCACGGACTGAACGAGGTTTCTTGGCACAGGCCAAATTATTTCACCGCCATTACTATTGACAAACACTCCCTTTTATTTCAGCGCGGAATAAAAGGCACACATGCTAAACGCAACCAATGCGTGATATTGATGCCAATGAGACACGATTTGAGACAAACAAAAATTCCTTACCAATGTACGGTTTGTAACAAAAAAATGTAAGGAACATTCGTTATTTGAAGCTTTCGTGACTGCAGGAATCCATACTCTTTGGTTCTTTCGGTAAAGTCACGTAGGTATAACATAGCCACTTCCGTGCCCTCGTTTAGGAGGCCGCTCTCCTATCTTACAGTTGCATGCTAACTTCTCACATTAACGTCATTAGCCCCGGCCACTTCTTTATAACTCTTGAGCTACGCCCATTTCAAACCTTTTAAAAACAGTCTGCCTCAGCAGCAGACCCACGCTTTGCCACCTGACGATGGACGCTTGTGTTGCGCCCGAAACGTCGCGATTTTATTTCATTTTATACCTACGTGACTTTACCGAAAGAACCAAAGAGAATGTAAGGAAACGCTTTGCGGACAAAAAAGGGCATCTGGTCCGGGCAGAATAAACAAACCAAAAAGCGCTGTGGCGGTCTCATTTATACTTCAAGTATTTACGACGCCGCACAAGCATTGGCTCCAAAGGGGAATTCACACAGCGACCTGTGTCCGCGGTCCTGCGGCCAGAATGTTAATTCCATTAGGACGACGCTGCAATCGTCCACATCGATCCCTGCAGCTGCCCGGCAACATTAAGCAACACCGTGTTTCCCAGCTTCTTTGTGCTTGTCAAAGTCCATTACGTGCACTCGATTTACTTCACGTGAAGTGCTCCATCTCTTTCTCTCCCCTCTCTTTTGTCATTCTCTTTATTCTGCGCATTAGCTCTAATTTATGGCAACGGTATTATTGCTTCAATGCCTATTGCCAAACCGCCCGGAATGAGTTCGATTCTCATCAGATATCGGAAAGCTATGCGGGGTTGAGCCTGGAAAGTGCGTGGATGTGCCACCATCACAACAAACAAACAGGTTGTTATAGGCTTCGCAACTATGTGGTGGTAAGCAGCAGGCAAAGCCGCAAACTCGATTGTTGTACTATACTTCTGCGTCCCCACGTTTATTGCTCCATGCCGTGCTGACCAGCGTGAAGTATGGTGAAATAACCCCCAAGACCCGCACAGTGTGGGAAGGCCCTCATCCAGCAGTGGATTGACAAAGTGCGGTACAGGAATATTTTTTTCAATAGCTCATGCAAAAGAATGTCAATGTGCCTGAGGTAATTTGGGTGTTTGTTTTAATGCAACGTTCTTACACATTGCAGATTTGCACCATGTGGCTGAAAAACAGTGGAGCGCTAAGACATTCACATCCTAACGTGTATACGATTCCTATCGCTAAAGTTTCAAGTAGCACAACAATATAATGATCATGCGGCTTATTGATAACGCACGTTTAATTAATTATCAGATGCGGATGGCAGATTATGCGGCCAGGCTCTTCTACAGGGCCCAGGTCATGGACACCCAGCACTGGTGTGAAGTGATTCGAAAACTGCCGACCTATTCATACCTGGCGATGTCAACTAACAATTCGTGATTCAATCTGAACCAGCGTGCGGTACATGCCACCCGTCATGGTGGGATATCCGGGCCTCCGTGTGGCTCAGAGCCGTGCCAGATTTCCTTTCTGTGGCCCGTGTGGCCGTTTCCGCAAATCCCCCTTCCCGATCGGCACGATTTCCTCGAAATCCTGTCCCACGGCCGCTGCATTCCGAGGTGAAAACAGCCGCAGGAAGCGGTGATACATTTCCTGAGAGATAGCGCACGTGCGTGGCGCGCGATTCGCGATCGCTCGCTCCACCGGTATAAATGGGCTCGTGGGGAGACACGGTGTGGCCTCTGTGCATCTACACAAATCTCGTGGGGGGGCCTCAGCCAGAGTTTGAACGTTTTTATAAATGCATTAAGACGACGCACACGCCGGTGTCTCGGGATTCGTACGTTCATTGATTTTTTTGGAACGTTTACAGTTCTCTTGACATAACTGCCTATATCACACACACACACAAACACAGATGCCTCATCTTAATCTGAAGGGACTTGACGTTTGAGGAATGGAATTTGGCTATGGTACAGGTACTTAAGGTGCAGGTACTGCAGGTAGTATGTGCTGGTACTCTAAACAAATCAACCAATACACTCTTCAGAGAAGAAACAGCTCACCATTTACACAAATGGCTCTGTTCTTTTCAACAACCGCTATCTAGTATCCATTGACACCACAAGACTAATGGTATACATTCCAATTTTTCCATTGTTATTCAGTCATCGCGATGAAATTATTTCGGATTTTTGTCAGGTGGGGCCTGGTGAATGTTGTCATCAGACTAGTGACCACATCACGATGAAAATACTGCGGCCTCTGACATTAGGTTTGAAATTCAATTGAGACACTGAAGCAATCGACTGTGCATCAACTGAATCCATTTTCCTGGCTAAACTGACCTGGACTTCAGACATTGCTATTCATCCGGCCACACGAGGAGATACGAGGGACCTGCAAGCCGCAAATATGCTGCACCGCCGATGTGTGAAGACCAGCGCCCACTATCGTCACCACCTGCTCATCACGCAACGTCTCCCCGCTCTGCCACTGCTTGTCGATCAGCTGCGACAAAACGCACCTGGGTGCCCAAGCAGCCTAGATTATCTCCACACCGTTCCGGACGGCGTGTTTTATACACGGCAGCTGACGACGCGGACACCGTCAGGAAAATGCTCGGATGAAACACATGAAAAATGCGTGGTTCGTATATATCGCAATACATCCACAGGTGGACGCGGACAAGGTTTGGCAAAGCGTGGCAGAGGCTTGGGAACGCATTGTGAAAACATTTCCGGCACTGGCACGAACGCTCTCAGTTTTAACGCTTCTCAATGTAATCTTCTCTTGTCCCCTCACATTTCCCCCCGCTCCCACACCCGGTGGTGTCTAGATACATTTAAATAACGCGGCAGCATATATGACCCGTTTACGGTGGATGCACCGTCGATCACCGCAGGTGTTCTGTGATGTGTAACAAACACGTTCCACTGCACCTCTGACTTCCACGACTGCAGTAGAGACCCTCTTAAACAAAGTGCTTTACATTTGTGGCACAGGCTTGTTTACCGACAGACCCCTTTTAAAAACAGTAAAACTGAACGGCGATGTTTTACACAGGGGCAACATGTTATTCCCCGTAGATGGTAATGGCAATTCTTGTGTTTTTTTTTGCTGTGTGTGGGGCTGACAGATGTAAACGTGCTCCAAATGCTGACATTCTTTTTATTACCCTTTTTGACCCAGGAAAGCCTTATTGAGTCTCAAGACTTTTTAAGGAGGTCACTGCCGTGCTTTTGTAGAAGGGAGCAATGCTGCTCCTGTGTGTAATCCAAATTTAGTAATTTGCAGGTAAATGTTCAGCTTAACACGTAGGCTTTCACGACCAATATCATCCATAACGGAGGTTTTTGGGTTACGTCGTGTAAATTTACGCGTAAATGCTCAGCATTGGGATCTTTGGCCAATGCCAGTTACACTGCATGTGATTTTTTTTTAAGCGACGGGAGGAAACGAGAGAACCCCCCAGAGGAAACCCAGGAAAAACAGGGGGGAGAACACGCAAACTCCACACAGAAAGGTGCCCCTGCCTCAAGTTGGGAAATTAACCCAGGGCACTTTTTTGCTGTGAGCCACCCTGCCCCCCTCAATGTCTCAGAGATGCCCCCCCCCCCCCCAATGCTCAACATAGACAGAGGCCAGCCCTGTTGAGAGCAGAAAATGAGGCGTCTCATAGCTGTGTGCGAGCGTGGACATTTAAATTAAAGAAATAAAAATGTAAACAGTTGAAAATATGTACATATAAAAAAAGAACTCAAGTGCGCAAGCTTATTGCTTGTTACAGAAACGTAGCGTCATATTAACAAAAACACTAAATATCGATTACCTGGCACGTAAAAGACACGCAAGTGAACGTCGCCTTGTGAAACGCACAAAGCGTAGTAGGGAGGGGGCTCAGTCACGCTCACGGTCTGAGGCGAAACTTTTGGGCTTCCCCATTCAAACCCCTGCTCACGATAATGGCAGGTCGGGATTATTGGTTTTACTGGAGCGGCTTGATAATCCTCTTAAACGATGAGACGACCGTTTTGCATGCAAGCGGGTTTAGAGATGAGACACGTTTGGTGCAATTACCGCTGCCACGTCGATGATAAAGAGATGAGCTGTGCGGAGTTTCACGCCATATGCCATGCTCTGCTGGAATTTGAATAAACCCATTAGGTAGCATATGCAGGATAAGCATGTTCAAGGATAAATGTTATTGTTAAACGTATGCCTAATGCCGTGTACAGATTCTGCGTTTAATTACGATTAATACATTAATAGCAACATTAACTTGCGACTCGTGATACAGTGACATGCAAAGAATGAACTCAACAAAACACCACAACTGCATAGATCAGCCTGTGAGTGTTTGTATATGGGGACTGTGTTGAGTGGCACAGTGATTCATCCAGGCCATTAGACAAACACAGGAAAATGCATAGAGCAGCCTGTGAGCACGTGCTCCTCACCCTGCGGGCGTGTGGTTGTATGATGGCTGTGCGGAGTGAAACGCAGCGACTCACCGAGCCCACCCTCCAGCTCTTCTGTCCCGGTGTCAGGCGTCTCCGGGACATCCACCTCGCCGGCTCCTCCTCTTTCAGCTTCGTTCTCTGCGTCGTCCTCCTCTGCCTCGTCCGCCGCGCTCTTGTCCTCCTTCACCTTCTCCTCGTCGTCGTCGTCGTCGTCAGGCTCAGCAAGGGGCCCCGTGGGCTCCTCCTCTCCCTCCTCGGCGGGCCCACACGGCTTCTCCCGTTTCTCACCGTCTATCGTCTCCCGGGTGTCTTCCTCCTCCGCGGGCACCTCGGCGTCCGCCTGGGCGTCCGCCTCGGCGTCCGCTTTGGCGTCCTCCTTTGCGTCTGCTTTGGCATCCGCCTTGGTATCTGCCTTGGCGTCCGCTTTGGTGTCCAACTTCTCCTCTTCCTCATCGGCGGCAAGGGCGGCGGGTCCGGCGGTGAGAAACGAGACCTGGGGCTCCTCGGCCTTCTTCCCATCTCCGTCGCCGGCCTCGGCCTCGGGCTCGCCGGCGGACTTGCTCTCGTCGTCCTCGGCCGGCGGTTTGAGGACCACGGGCTCGGGCTCTGCGGACGGGCGGAGAGAGAGAGAGAGACAGACAGAGAGGGTGGCACGTGAGACGCGGGAGTGGAGAGCCGTGCGCACAGAGGCACCGTTTGCGACGGCACAAGCCTCCCAGCCGCCATTCAGTCGCCGTTCCCGGTCGGGCGGCAGTGCGGTAGTCGGAGTGAATCAATCTCGCCCGCGCGCCGCTGCCTCTCCCCTCTCCCCCCCCTTTCCTGCGCTCCATGTGCATGGGAGAGGAACAATTTCTGCAGCTCGTCAACGATAACAAACAAACACAAAATGCTGCAGATGATAAAAGCACCCTCGCAGGCGCAGACAGGCAGACACGCTTGCCGGGCCGTGCGTATTAGCATTCAGAGGGGCAGCAGCTCTCCTGGGACGTATCTCGAGATGCGCCCCAATAATAAAGATTGTGACATCCCTTAAGCGTTACACCCATCAGCGTCCTAACCTCCGCGCCGCTACTATGCACGCTCTATTTGGTTCAAAGCGCACGCGTAAATCGTGGCTAACGGTAACAACAACAAAATGAAACTTTGCATCTGAGTAAATATCGCTTGCAATTCAAATGAGGAAACTGTGAATATTTATTAAACACATTTAGAGTCTCCTTCATTCAACAACCGCAGTAGTTCACGTGCGTGTGTGCTCCAACACAGCTTCCACTGAGCAACAATCATCGCGACCCATATCCACGACATTAAAAAAAAACCCCGCGACACACACACACACATGACAACGTCATTTGTTTTGTTTAATTCCCGCGAGAATGCATTGCATTGATTTACAAACAAACGGCCTGGGGACCACCACAGCAGCAGCAAGCAGCGGAGGTCCACTGAAGCGACACACCACAGTGTAGCAGCAGCAGCTAGCTGATGAGTTCACGAGCACAGACTCCGGGGGGTGGTGTGTGGGGGGACTCACCGCTAAACTCCATTGTGCCGGCCCCTGGGAAATCAGCAAGAGGCTACATCCCTCCTACATCCTGCCTCGACGCGTCGCTGTTGACCGGCGGCCGACCCACCCCCGAGCACGTCCATGGAGTGCCGGGGGCCCGGAGCGGCAAGCGGCCGCGCTCCGTCCCACCACACCCAGCCGCGGCGAGGACTGCAGGGCGCGCGCGTGCGTGCGCGTGTGTGCGCGTGTGTGCACGTGTGTGCACGTACGCGCCACGGCCGGGACTCTCGCGCAGGAGGAAAGCCGCGAAAGCCGTGAAAGCCCCCCCCGCCTCTCACGCGCCGCGCGGAGCCGTCGGCAGGGCAGGGCGGCGCCGTGGAAATTCGCGGACGCCGAGCGAACGGAGCGGAAGGGATGCGGGAGTGAGCGGCGGCGGCGGCGGCGGTGGTAGTGGCGGTGTGGGGGGGGAGAGAGGGAGGAGGCAGCGGCGACGGAGCGAGCGAGCGAGGGAGCGGGCGAGGGGGAGAAGGAGACAGTGACGGAGCGGCGCGAGGGAGAGAGCCACGAAACGCTGAAGGGGCTTGCACAGCGAGCGTGCGAGCGTGCGGGGCTACATTCCCCCACAGCTGGGCAGGAAGTGGGAACGGGGAGGAAGTCCACGTTCCAGCACGGCTGTGCTGTGCATGCGTGAGAGCGTCCAGGGGGTGAGGGGGCCGCGTGCGGATGCTGACATCACCAGCGCAAATGATGAAGTTAGCCAAATGAATATTGCTTGCGCGTCCACCCAATTAAACTCCGTTATTGCTGCTCGTTATTCGCCCACGTTGGATTGCGCGAGCGAGCAAAAATGCATTCTTCCATTGTTATCCTCAAGACAAAAGGCAGTAGTTAGATGATGATTAAACGGCAAATGTTCAACGCCTTGTTTCCACTACGAAGCTCATTTGTTGTCCACTGCTGTGGTGGACCCAGCCTTATCCTTTTCTTATACTTAAACCTCCTCTCCCTTTCCTTCTCGTGCCAAAGTCAAAACTGTATCTCGTCAAAGTTACCGTAAATCCCACGTTCAACTGAGAGAAAACAGGCGTGTGCTTAAGTGCATTTTGGCAATGAAAGTGCGACGCTCGTAGATTTTGCAACGTTGACTCATTTCCAAACATCAAACGCACCTGAAAAATAAAAGCTTACGAAGCATTCAGCATTTCCAGGACCAAAACAAACATTCCATTGCAACTTCTACGGGCCTACTTGTGCCTTTTCAAAATAATAAGAAACGCCACAGTGCATTGCCATGGTGCGAGTCGACAAGTCGTTTATATCCCCTTGCAAAATGTGCACACGCGCCGGCAACATGAAACCAACGCGCCTCGTGTCAATCCGCTCGCTGAAGGAATCTCCTTGCCAATGAAAGCGGTAACATTAGCGAGGGTTGGGACCGAGCAGAATACCACCACCACCACCACCAACCCCTAGCAGCAACAGCTGCCACTGGCCTGTGCCGCACGATGTAAATTGAGACTCCTGAGTGGAATCTCATCCGCGCGGTGGCCGGTGACAGCCGGGGTTGAACGCCACCGTGGGGGGGGGGGGTGGTCATTAAAGTGGAACACGGCGGGACGCTCCTGACAGTGGGCGCCTACGAAGGCTTGCGGGCCACTATGACATTCGCGGAGGCGGTGCGACAACCATCGGTGGAGGAGAGGAGGGGATCGGGCGTGGGACTGATGCCAACCCGTGAAGTGCAACAAATAAAAAAAACTCCGGGGACGCATCGTGAGTGGCAGCGTCTCTCGCGATACCGGAGAAGGGTTGTTGACGTGTAAATGTACTGTCTTGAAAACTTAAATACACTTTTTTTTTAGTTTACCAGGGTAAGGCCCACTCAGCTATATAGGTCTATTTTTTTTTTCAGAAGCGACCTGGCCACAAATTATAGCTCAACGAAGTGACTTATCACGTGAAAGTTTATGGCAGCTAAATACTCGAAACGCGTGTTTCTAAATGTGGAGGGAAAAACCGGAAGACCCGTAAGGAAAATCCACACAACCACGGAAAGAACACGCAAACCCCAAATAAACAGCAGGCGTCAGAGTCGGGATTGAACCCACGACCTCCTGTATACCATGCGAGGCAGTTAACATCTCGCCATCTCGTCCTGCATGGCGCATTGTTACCCAACTTAATTTTAATGTCCCAAGGTTTCCCCAGAAAGTGACTTAAAAAAGAGGACAATTGTGGGGAAATCCGCGACAGGTGGCCAATCAGATTGTGCAGGCAATCAGTGCGCGCTGCAAAGTAAGTCCATCCCTCTGCGGGTGTACACAGTGACACGGCCACATCGCTCCAGCACCTCCTCACTGAGCGAACGAGCGTCAAAAAACATGCTCGCGGGATTGCGAAGTCCCCCAAGGTGCCGTAATGAATGGACGTAGAGGGCCGAATGCCGATGGCCCAGATCGGGCAGCACTCGTGGCATTCGGGCCGGGGGCCGCGTGCCCGATCGTGGGGGATCGTCGTGGCTTCCCTCCACCAAAAAAAAAACCCACTTCCAAACGCTTGCCGCGATGCGTCCCCGCTGTTGCTAATTAGGGCGACTAATTTATGGCGCAGACGTAATCATTACCGAAACAGTCCTCCACGTAAGCAGTACTTCGATATTTAAAAGAATAATCTGCATAACCAACCGTGGCTTCTATATTGTACTCTCTATACAGTACTATTTACAGTACTATTGTTTATAAATCGGAAAAGGGTTTTTTTTAAAAAGAAAGTAATTCATGGTAGATTTTTATTGTAACAAATGCAAGGTTACTGCATGTGTATTTTTTTTTATTTGATACTATAAAGCTCCTCGATGCGGTCCAAAACAATTAGTGCAATGTGTGGGCAGAAAATTCAAATGTTATTTTGTAACCAGCCATATGATGGATGCCCTCTAATTATTACCAGACTCCGGCACGTCGTTCAGAAATATTTTATTGAATTAACAGAAGCAGATAATACATCGTGGCATGTTAAACAGCCCCCTGCGTTGACGATTACCTCACCCTAACAATATCCTTCCTTGCTTTATAGACTTTTCCCATTAGTGGGGTTCTTTATTGTATTGGTTTGGCTGAAGCTCAGTACTAAAAACTACTGAGACATATATAAATGAATTATGTTATGAGATGACGTGTACAAACGTTGGTGCCAGAATGTGATTTAGGAAAACATGGGACAAAGTCATTGGGATGTGACAAGATTTTCTAGATTTTAGTCCATTATGTTTAAGAATCTAAATAAAGATGTACCGGCTGTCACCTCAAATGTACCTAAAGACAATGCACAAAATATTATGAAAGTTTGTAAGATAACCCAGCTCACAAAATGTTACAAACTAAAAAAACAAGAGGCCCAAAATTTTAAATTGCTTTCATCATCATCATGAGACAAGATCTATCCACTGCTGCATAAAGGTCTCCCCAAGTTGCCATCACCCATCACAGTCTCGTGATGCCACAATCCAACTAGCTCCTGCACAAGAGCCGATTTCATCGCTCCATCTCCACGGTGAATGTCCTGTCGCAGGTGTGTTTCCCTCCTTTGGCTGCCACTCCTGTCATCATCAGGCTCGATAAATCGGGCATCGTCACTTCCGGCAACGTGTTCCACCCAAGCCCACTTTACTCCTCTTCACAGTCAGTTTATTTATGCCACACTCATTATACACAAAGTGCTTGCCACAAATGGACCACAATACCTTGCTGATCACGTCAAAGAGGATAAAACAGCACGCGAACTCCGGTCATCCTTGCACCGGCTTTTGGCTAGCCGTCAAAGACGGTCGCCACATCGTGAGCTTTCAGATGCGATTCTGCGGCCGTCTGGAACGCTCTTCCTTCCGATATTCGGAAGCCACTGGAGCTGTGCACTTTTCAATCTAGATTGAGATTGAAAACTCATTCCTTTAGAACTGCTTTTTGTGTTTAGTTTGTTGTCTTTCCCCTGAACCTCCAAGTAGCACGGTTAGCTAAGTACCGTGCAAAAGAAGTTCAACATACATATATAACACGATGTCTCAAACTGGAATTTGTTCTGTGACCAATGCGTTCTTTCCGTCTTTTCAGTACAATTCCAAGCGTGCACTTCTCCACGCTTGGTGCAATTTCCTTCAGCTTTTTTGTTCCATTACATTCGTCAGCGTTCATGCACATCACCCGTAATATTAGGCCACATGCACGTATTGAAACGTATTCTTCACTCACGTCGGTATGTCACTTCCCATTATCAAGTCCAGTTTCCAAAATCGCTCCAACCTGCTCTTTCCTCGCCTCTGCAATTCACTATATTTTGAACCTAGTCCACCTTCAATAGCATACCCTGATGTGCGTTCCAGTTGTGCCCCTATTAAGAGCCATCTTCAAAATCTTGCCCTGCCGGTAACACAATAAATAAACACTGCCATATGTAACACCGTGCACGCGCTATTTTCGTTCGACACCGCACGATGCTATGTTCACACGGTTAAGTTGGCGGGAGCGTCTAAAACAAGCCGACGCGATTCGTGAAATGAACTGAGAGTGGTGGGACATACAGCAGGGAACACAGCGTGCACGCAACACCCCCACCTCGATTCACGGGGACAAGGACCGACACTTGGTGGGGGAGGGGGGGGTTGGCGTGGGGGAGGATGGGACAGGAGGGGGAGGGCGTGGGGGGAGGGGGATGGGCGTGGTGGCGGAGGGGGAGGGCGTGGGGGAAGGCGGGTGGTGAAGGGGGAGGAGGAGGGGAATGGGCGTGCGGGCGGAGGAGGTGGAGGAGGGGGTGGGGGAGGAGGGGCGTGGGGGAGGAGGGGGTGGGGGGGGTGGGGGAGGAGGGGGTGGGGGAGGAGGGGGTGGGGTGGGGGGGGTGGGGGAGGAGGGGGTGGGGTGGGGGGAGGAGGGGGGTGGGGTGGTGGGGGAGGAGGGGGTGGGGTGGGGTGGTGGGGGAGGAGGGGGTGGGGTGGGGGGGTGGGGTGGTGGGGGAGGAGGGGGTGGGGTGGGGGGGGTGGGGGAGGAGGGGGTGGGGTGGGGGGGTGGGGGAGGAGGGGTGGGGTGGGGGCGTGGGGGGGTGGTGGGGGCGTGGGGGGGTGGTGGGGGCGTGGGGGGGTAGTGGGGGCGTGGAGGGGAGGAGGGGGAGGGGTCCGCTCTCGGAGTCCCAGCTAGGCGAGGTGCTCACACATCCACACAAGCCCTCTACCAGGGCGGCGACTATCGCGGCAAAAAAAAAGCTTCCCACACAAATATTGCACACGTCATTCTTATTATTCACCGGTCACATTTTGTCCCTATTAACCGCTCGAAAACGTTGTCTTTTTCATCACTCGCCATAGCCGGAGAGGCCATCAAATTTATTTCGGCTGTGCACGTTTGCTTTAAACGTTGCGTGTTTGAGACAATCACGGCAAAAGAATCCCGCTTCCTTGCAATTTTAGGGACGACAACGATTTTGTCAATTAGACAAACACGGGGGTCTGCAAACAGCGAGGCTGCTTAGCAACGCGGACGTATCGTGCCCCAGGCTCTTGCCACACATTTGTTTTTGCTTAGGCCTCGCCATGGCTTCACTGAAGGTCTTAAGGGGGTGGATGCTTCACCGCTTTAACAACAACACTTTGTTTGAACCACGCTAAAGCTGTGCTCTTAATTACCAACGGCTACCCCCCCTTTATCAAAGCCACGTCAGTGGTTTCCAGCTCAAAGGAACAACACGGAGCCACAGCTCTGTTCTCTTTTGACAGCACGAAACCAGCGGTGGAAATTCCACATTCCTTTGGAGTGGGGCGAGAGTTCATCCAAAGCACATCCACATTAATTCTAGATTTGAAGTTTTCGTGACTGCAAGGATCCATACTCTTTGGTTTTTTCGGTAAAGTCACGTAGGTAAACATTTAATAAAATTAAATAAACAAAAATGAAAATAACTCAATCATGACGTTTCGGAGGCAACACAAGCATCCTTCATCAGGTGTAAAAATTACTGTAGAGCTGTAGGTTTAATTTAGTTATTTTTGCTTAATTTAATTTAATTTTTACCTACGTGACTTTACCGAAAGAACCAAAGAGTACACATCCACGTTGTTCACTTCTCACTGCTGGGTTTATTCACCGCAGAGGGATGAAAGGCTGAGTCGAAACCTCGATTAAGAATTTTTTTTAGAACTGCCATACGCTTTCTGCGAGTCGTGCGGTCAATCCACTGCACTGATAGGATACTTTGAAATAAAAACCTTAAGAGCGATGGCCCTTCACGGCAAATGGGCAACACCAAAGAAGCCCTACAAATCACGGAAATGCATCCGCAATAAAAAAAGCCCCGTCAGTGCGGGATGCTGCCAAAACGCACGCACTAACAACGCGTTTGGGCGTTGACAAAAAGCGCACACTCTATTTTCAACCCACGTGCTCCTGCTCCCATCAATGACAGCGCATCAGCCGCAAAGAAAAGAACACTTCAGGCGCACAACGTAATTTTTGCAAGCGACTCCCGGACCAAGTGCGCGCTTGCCCGACGGGAAGAGAAAAACAAATTCCTCTCGACACGATTCCTTTGCGCCCGTTGAGGCAAGTCGACACATCACCTCCCCCTGGTGGCCAGCCGGCTACAGGCACCACCTCGATCTTCGCCGCTCTCGTTCCACTGAGCGCGGACCTCAAGCGCTGCGGCGTAAGCAGCGCAGTATTTACTGCGGGTGGCAGCAGCAGCAGAAGCAGCAGGCTGAGCCGCTCGCAAAATAACGATGAGTGATGACCGCAGTGTGGTTGTTTATATGCCCGCTGACGCAACGCGGTGCCGCCCATACAAAACGCCACCACAGCGGGCGCTGTCCCCGGCAAACATTTGAGAGCCGTCAAGCGGCGTTCCGTGAACGAACGGTGGTTTGTTTATGGGAGGTTGGGTTTTTTGGAATATTCGGGGTTTTTTTTTTTACCCGCGCATTACGCGCGCGGGAACGTGCACAATGGAAGGAAAAACAAATGCCACCCACTCCGTGGCCATCTGCACCCCGTTAGCGGCTGGCGAGGGGAATCTAATTGCTCGCTCTGCCCAGTGACCACTAAACCTTGCAGCGGCAATGAAGAATGCCCTCCTCACCAAAATAGTGCCCGCTGTCTCTGCAGGGAGCGTATGAATGAGCTGCGTCTTTAGTTCCCCGCATGTTCTGCGCCGGGAGGAACCCTAAGTGCATCGACATGCAAAGATTGAGGAGTGCAGAAGTGCGAAGGCGACTATGACACAAAACAACTCTGGTAGGGACGATACGGCTGAGAAGGTTGCGATGGTTTGGACACAGTAATGTAGGTGGGTTGTTGCATTGCATGACCAAGAGAGATGGTGATGGGTCATCCAACAGTGACTTGATTATAGCTGCTGATGATGATGATGAAGCTTATGATGACGTATGTATAACGACCGTCAATTCCCTTGTTTGTTAGTACTGCAATATTCCTTAAGGACCCTGTTCTCGGTATCTGCAATATTGACGTGTTTTGCCTTTATCTTGTTGCTGTGCTCACACACCACGGAGGTGCCTTGATAAATAGCCGGGCGACCAGCTAAACGGGATTATTCCGCGCAACAAATGAAAATAAACTCAAAACGTGTAAGAATCGAGAAACAGTAAGACGGGAGAGACGTGGCAAAGAATGATCTGAAAGAAATGAGCCTGGAGTTGTCAGCAGGAGGCGCGACTGATGCATGGCACATCGTCGGTGCCGAGCGGACAAAACGGAACTGAAGGAGGAGGTTTGTTCTGCGATGGCGGCCTCACCCTCGTCGGAGCTGCAGGGAGACGGCTCGGGGGCCTGGTCCCCCGCCAGGCCTTTGTGCAGCAGCGTCTTGGAGAGGACGTCGCGTGCGTCGGTGACGGACTCGGGGTCGGCTGAAAACGAGGGGCCCTCATCCGACGGGCCTTCATCCGACGGGCCCTCATCCAACGGGCCCTCATCCGACGTCCGCGGCAGCAGACCATGCTGCTGCACAGCGGGAGGCGTGGGTTGTTGGTTAAACGCGCGCAGGGGAATCCTCGCTCGACAAAAAAGATAACCGGGGCATAAAATATTGCTCGGGTAATTTGTGTTGTACGGTCAGGTGTTTCGCTGCCACAAAATGAGCCGTAGAAGCAGCTGATGGGGCCCTTTAAAACACACGCTTCATTGAGCACAGGAATCACGCTAACGCCGCAGGCGCGCACACACACACACAATGATCTCATCATATAGCCCACATACTCTGTTGCAGCAAGTGCTGTTTGTGAGCGCCTATGGAGGCTGCACATGGTGTACGAGTGTGTGGTGTGACCAGGACCAAGCCCGGTCGTCTTTGTCTACCCCAGTGCCGATTATCTCACACGGGACCAGGTATTCATTTAAGGCAGCTTAGGGAAGGCCCAGGACCAATTCATGTTTCATTTACTGCACATACACACACACACTCTCCAATTTTGGGGAATCACACTGCACTGAAAAGAAAAGAGAAGGGTTGAGCAAGTGATAGGCCTTTCTATTCCAAGACACAGGCTCAGTTATAATGCAGGTACTTATAAACAGATTAATTGACACTGCAAATTAAATCACACCGTTTAGCAGCGTCATTAGTGGAGGCCCCCGCCTGCGGTGGGTGCGAGTGCCACTCACCACCGTGCCAAGTGCGACGTCACGCAGGAGAGGGGTGGACTGGGCAGCGTGCTCGGCAGGCGCGCCAGGGCTTCCTGTACTGTCCACACGCTCCGCAGGCAGCGCCTTCTCTCTGTGACAGTGAAAGAGCAGCAGCACACTCATGGGTAAGACAACAGATGTTAACTATCTCGCCCGGTATACAGGAGGTTGTGGGTTCGATCCCGACCCTGACACTTGTAATATTTGAAATTTTCGTGTTCTCCCCGTGGTCGGGGTCCTCCGGTTCTTCCCTCCACATTTAGAAGCGTGCGTTTAGAATGTTTGACCGCTGTAAATTTACACACGATAAGCCACTTTGTTGAGCTATCATTTGTGGCCAGGTCGCACCTGAAAAAGAGCTATGTAACTCAGTGTTGCCTTACCTGGCAAAACGAAGCATTGTTTAGTTTAACAGCACATAGACACACTGGTCACGCAGTAGCACATTAAAGCTGCGGTACGCTGATAGAAGGCTGTGCTACGTAATAAATTATGGGTAAAGGTGATGCCCTGCAATGTCTTTCTTACGCCACTGCTTCCGCTGGAGGGAGCTCTAGGAGGCCCGCTAGAGGGTATTTTTGACTCGCTTTTCCACATTGGCCGGGTGCCTTGGAAGAGGTGGAAAGTACCCAGACTCAACTCCTACATAGAGCCGATGACCAAATCGCCTGGAATGTGCCCACTCTTGTCAGATCACGGGTGCTAAGCTGGGTAGTGCTTGAATGAGCGACCACTATGCACAAACCGATTGTCATGGGGAGGCTGCAGGCCTCCGCTACATGGTGGCCAGCAGAGGGCTGTGCCTCAAAACCCGTTGTTGTGATGTACCTCTATGCTCCCCACAATCACCTACCCGCACTGACCAGCGGTGGTCGAGTATGACAAAAATGAATGAATGAGAGGCACACCTGTGGTCATGAGAGCCAGCTGGTGGTGGAGAACGCGACACAAGTCCTTTTTCCAGTCGCTCGCTGAGCCGCTCCTTCACGCCATCGCGGTCCTCGGCGAGCTCCATCAGGGCTCGCTCCTCGCCGCTCTCGTCCTCCTCGCTGCCCAAGCTCCTTCCGCTCCCCCATTTCAACTCCCCCTCGCCGGGGCCCCAAGTCTCCCCGTGCAGCTCAAGTGACGACGATGACTCCACCACAGAGACCTGCGACACGATCAAACGACGCACGCACAAGATCGTCGGCGACCATTTTGTTCTTGCGCACGATGGCAACGTGTTCAGGAGGTGAATGCCAATGTCGAGGTCTGCAAGCCATGATCAGAGGGCAATCCGGACAGAGTTCGTGTAGTTTCGCTATTCCCACTCCTCCGTTGATGGAGCACACACTCGTGGTTTACTGCGTGGTCCATAGTTTTGGTTGCATGGCCACAGTCACACTGCTATGGCTTGTGTCTAATCTCTACATTTATGAAGGAGATGCATGCATCGGGCCGTTCATGTTATGATGCTGTTGTGCAATTGTGTCGACAATAACAATGCAATAATGTGGCCTGTCCACAGCTCCCGTCTATGTGGACAAGGAAATGAGAAAGCATTTCAGTGCATGATACTGACCACATTCTCCACGCTGTTCGTGAAGCTCACCCGTGCAAGATTAGTAAAAAAAAACACGTAGAAAAAAGGCGGCATCTTATTTCATCTAACGGTCTAACATATTTCCACAGTTTTAAATTCATGGAAAAATCATCAGCAGTTAATTATCGGCGACGATAGACGGACACTTGAGGCAACACAGCGCAGGCAATTCTCGAACGAGCGGCGAGTCTGTGATTGTGGCGGGATTGGAGCCGGGGTGCATTACGCGACGGTACCAAGCGCTGCAATAAGCATCCGGCGCACACGTGCACACAAAAGACACAGATCTCCCGTATAGCCTTGAACCTGACCGTTGGGGCAAGTGCTGTTAGCGAGCACCAATGGGGGGCCCAGCGCCACATCCGGCCGCCTGAGCACACGCGCGCACATGCGCGCGCCCACTCACACACAGAGATCCCTCCACTAATGGGCCTTAAGGATCGTTTTTGCGAGCGCGTACGTGCGTCAACATTGCAGGTCACTAGCCTCTCGTCGTAGCCCACCACGAGTGTCGGTCGGGGAAAAAAAAAATCACACCATCTCAAGACTCTGAACAAACAACGATGCTGCTGCTGCTGCTATAACCAACAACATAAGGCCCCCACGGACATGATAAAATAACTAAAAGTAGTGAGAGCTAAATTTTATCTTTGGCAATTAATACTTACAAATGAAAGATTCTCAGGCAACGTGCCCGACGATCTCATTTGACCTCGGAAGCTAAGCAGGTTTGAGCCTGGACAGTGCTTTGATGGGTGACCATATCGCATAAAGCAGGTGCTGTAGGCTGATGCAGGAATAAGGTGTCAACAAAAGGCCGTGTCGCAATATCCATTGTACCATACTATGCTCCGACATCTAGTTTCCCACACATTATTCTACCCCCAAAGATCCGCAGGGGTACACGGGAGGAGGCCCTCGTCAAGCAGTGGATTGGCAAAAAATTTCCGCACGTGTAAATTTCTTCTGCATTCATGTTGCGACATGGCTAGCAAACCTGTGACATGATCTTAGTTAAAGAAGGGGCCATACAAAAACTCAGTGGGGTTGGGGGGGGGGGGTGCTCGACACAATCGATAATAAACAAGTGTTACTCGAAGCAGAATGGGCAGCGATGTGATCTACTTGCCTCAATCCCGCGTTCTGCTCTGTCTCTCACCCGCTGTGTTCCGAAGAAACGGCTGCATCGCCCACTGCTTCATCACTCACGTTTTGTGCCAACATTTTTTTTTCTGCTCGACTATAAGAATTGGTGGCAAAAACCCGGGCCCGGTGTTCCGGCGGGAAGGGTAAGCTGCACCCCTCCTGGGGTTCACAAAACGTACGTCACTCTGTGGAGTAGTCAAACGGTGGGTGGGTTTCCTATGGGTAGACTTCACCTGTCGTAACACTGTGGAATTTTCACCACTGGCTCCAGCCTGTGAATGAGAGGTGAGCACCTCTCGTGAGTAGGAAATCAATTTGACTGAGCCTTTAGCGGGGGGTGGGGGGGTTATCCCCTTTCAGCCCCCTCACCCCCATACAAGGTGAAGGGGCTCGACTACTCATGGACAAGGAGTCTCCAGTGCAAGTGTGGAGAGTAAGGGAGGCAGATCATGAGGCGAGGACGAGCGGAGGACCATCAGCGATGGGGTGCGCACGGTGATGCCTGTTGCTGTGTGCCTGAGAGAGTTACGAGCCTTGGGAAGGTCCCTGGCAAAGGATCAACAACAACATTCCCGAGGGGCACCCCTCAACCCTATCCCAGACTTTAGCAGCGGAAAAGTTAAGCGCCGCGGTTTAAAACGGGAGAAAATGGAGGACATTATCATGGCCACTCTTGGATAACATTTTCACGATCGAAACACACCCAGTTAATATAGCGCATTTCACACTCTCATTTCATGCAAATGTAGGGGGGGGGGGGGGGAAGCACAAAAGTATCGTGGATGTCGAAAATTGACCCTTTATATTTGTTTGCTCAATTTATTCACAGATTTATCCCCTCTGGTGAATTTACGTAATTTCACAGAACCGTTAAATACGATGCATTGCTCTATGCCCATGCACATATCGTGCCGATGACGCGACTGCCATCTGGCACTTGAATAATGATCAGGAACTCGTTAACTTTCATTGCCTTGGATTGAGCGAGCAACGAAATTCCCGGGATGCATCTGGGCGTTTTGATAAAAGATGGCAATCTTCTGTGCAATTGGGCGCAGCGAGCGAGCATCCTCGGCTGGAAGTTTTGCTTCCATGTTTGATCGTAGATAGTTGTAGAAAAAATTAGTTGGCTTTACCTGGGAGAACCATGCATCCTTTACTCCCGTTAGGGCAGGCCAGTGACGTTAAACTGACGTTTTGGATTCGTGATTTAGTTTTTAACTAATACAATATTCGAACTAGCACCATGTTGGTCATGGGAGTTTTTTTTTTTTACCATACTTCACCGCACGGGTCAGTGATGAGGGAAGAGCGCCCAAGCCCGCCAACAATAAAGTCAAAATAAATGTGTGCTTGTGAAATATTAAATAAATATTCAATAAATAAAGGTAAACCCAACCAACGATTGTCATTTTCTTGCCGGAACATTTGCGAAACATGTTTATTCATTTCATACGGCTGGTGCACGTGTCCCGTTAGAAATGTAAGCAATAATAATTGATTCCTAAGCCATTTGTTGAGAGCCCAATAGATTCACGCCGTTGGTGATAAGGCTGCAGCAGTGGTCTGCCAAGGCGTCATCTTTTTCCCTGCACGTGCCCAGACTGCTCGCCAAGGTACAGTCACACAGTACGGCACGTGCAATCTGTAAATACGATATCGCCTCTTGTCTTGCAAACGCAAAACATCTATTTGAGAATTGTAATCGCATATATAAAAAAAACGAACGCGCTGGATACCCGTGCAAAAAAAGAAATGTTGATCATTTGTTTTTAGGAGCGCAGTAAAATTTTAACTCGAGGAAATATTTACTGTGCGTCTGCTCTCGCCCCATGTGACACACACAACGGAGCAGAAAAGCCAGCGACTGTACGTCTGGCACTGCGGTCAGGGACACAGATAAAAAAAAAATGTAAAGGAGCCATAAAAAAATATGTGCGCTCGTATCAAAATATGCCAAGGAAACGCAGTGGAGTAATCTCAATGCCACAGATGTACACGCCTGCACAATGTTAATGTCTGCACATTTATTTTGGCCTTGGAGGAGGGTGACACGCGATGTTATGATTGCACAGAATTGTAAATATTCAGAATAATCGTGGTCGCTTAGAGACTGATGCTCGCAAATTATTTGTTCAATTCATTATTAAACCAATGCACTGGATGTGTGAAATTTTTATTCTACATGTTTCATAAAATGGTGCTTTAAAAAAAAAATACCACACACGTGCCTAATTGCAGACTATTCAAAACATTTTTATCAATTCGCTGTGCAATGTTAACCACTGAATGCCATAAATTACTTCCATATTTCTGCCAAAAACTCAATATGCTCCGCAAGAACACTGCCCTAAAAGGAAAACACATATGTCGAACAACAGGCGGCGATACAGCCAATGGCCCTTCTTTACAGTAGAGAATAAGTAGAAAAGGGACCATTGCCAAAAATACCACTTGTTATTCTTTTTTCCTTTAGGGCAGTTCTTGACGAATATGTTGAGTTTTTGTTTTGCACTTATGTTCCACCGCCAATGCAGTATATACACATTCCGTATTTATAGTTCTGAATTTAAAACAACACGTGTTCAAAAAATGACGGGTATTGGACGAGCAAAGCCAGGCCGAGCCACTTAATCCTCCCCCATTGTGTCCGGTGCTGGGTTGCTCATCTCGGACTGAATCACACAAGGCCCTTAAAAATATGGATGGCTCAATAGCCATCGCTTTCACCTGTACATGGCACGGCGAGCACTGCACTTGAGACGCGGGCAAGCGTGCCCGCGGGCAAGCGTGCCCGCGGGCAAGCGTGCCCGCGGGCAAGCGTGCCCGCTTCTCAATTGCAGTGATGCCGTGCCCGTGGCATATCAAGAATCACTTTCCTTGGATAAGATACTTCGTCGGCTGGCATATCTAGCCGTAATGATTACTTATCCACGATTCATACACGGATATCTCTTATAAACGGTAAGTTTTCATCTGTTGGCATAATTCAACCGACTTTTATCCATCCTGACCATCAACAACGAACTAAATTTCTTTTTCATGAACAAAAAAAGCATCTGAGCAAAGGATCTGAAAACGCGAGTGGAATACACCGCATTTCATAATGCGGATGATGTGAAACACCATCGTGAGCCATAAAATCCATTTGAGCATGTCTTGTGTTCAATCAGGACATCCGAGTCCACAATTGATGTCAAGCACAAGGAAAGAAACATACAGATTTGGGAAATAAAATCCAGCCATCACCTCTCTACCTGCTGGTAACAGCAATCGCAGAGCAGACTCTACTTTTCACTCTACTCACCTCCACGCACTCTCCTACCTCATCCCTCTAATCTCATTCTAACTCTGGTGACCTGCACAGGTCACCGGCCGTGCCTGCACAGGTGCGTGAGCGTTACTGCAGAGGGCTACGTGAGATATTTATGGTCGATCGCCTCGCTGCACACTCGGGCGACGCTTGGATTAGAAAATTTGCCCGCACGCCTGAAGTACTGAAACGCGCATGAATTTCTCACATGTCAGGGGGCATTTAGAGCTTACCGCCACATAAATTACGTAGATTTATTACAGCATTAACTTTTTTTACAGTGTGATTAGGGCATCAGTGTAATGAATCATGGAATATAACTGAAAATGTAGGTTAAGCGCTCAGGATGGACGAATATCTACCACCAGTGCACTTTAATGTTTATTTTTTTATTCAATTATTTAAACTACCCTCATATTTTGAAGCATTACATTTATCTTGGAAAATATACTAGCGCAGGTTGGATGACCCAAATGATTTCTATAACCTCCACGGCCCTGTTTTATGATCCCTTACGGATTGCTTGAACATTAAAACATTCCACGGAGAGACCACGGGTTGTGGCAGGACACATATTCCATGGGCCAAGACCAAATATTGTATTTGTTTGTGCCACCTGAGATCACTGGCGGAGCCAGTGGGGGGGGGGGGGGGGTGGCACGTGCCCCCCCATTGATCCGGTCGAAATCCCTAATTTCGATCGAATCACTGGGGTTTATTACTAATAAATCGACATTTTGCGACCCCCACTGCTACTGTGTAGCATTATTACATGCCAGGGACTCTATGAGATGATAGGACAATAGTCTGAGTCCATAATTGGCAATAAGTAACGGCAAAGCGGTTATAAGTGACTCACAGAATTGTGCGCAGTTGTGTATACAGTACATGACTTCCCTGAAGGCATTCTCCTTAAGCGAGCGCGATGCCGATCATACACAGTTCGAATTTGACCCTCGATCGATGGCTGCGCCATTGCCGCGTCGAATAAAAAGCAAGGGACAACTCCTTACTTACTTCTTTCCTATCATTTTTCATTGCTGGAGGGGTTGCCCCCCCCTACCTGAAAATCCTGGCTCTGCCATTGCCTGAGATGGCTAAACCCGAGTTGTATCCACATCTTTAAATTGCCAATAAAAGTGAATTATTCCATAACCTTATTGAATAAATATGTTATCACATGTTCTACTTTTATTCGCCATTGCTGCAACTTGCATTTTAACTGAACACATGCCACCTCCAGAGTAAACCAACATTTTCCGCGGTTCATGTACAAAAATAAATAATTAAACACCTTCTGCTGCAGTTTGTGCCAAAACATTTCCCAACTTAATATACAACAACGGAAAGACCAGGAAGACCAGAGACTGAATAATAATGTGGTAGCCATGAATAGGAAACGCAGCACTGAATACACAGCAACAATCAAGCAAGGCCGGGTTGTATCCTGCTCCCGGTGCTGGAATAACTGACTGGTGGCAGGAAATTGCTTTTTGTGTTTAGTTTGTTGTGCTTCACCCAGCACCTCCGATCAGCACGGTTGGCTGCGTACGGTGCGAAAGAAGATCAACATACGCACGTACGTACAAGAATAGGAGGCGTCAAATGAAATAACGGGCATCACCTTTGTGAAGTGCAACTTGGTGGCGGTGTTGTCACCCTCAGGCTCGCTTGATTGGCCGTCGTCCCCTCTCTCCTCGAGCACCGTGTCCCAGCCTTGCTGCTCGCCGCGGCTCTCCGGCGCGCCTCGCTGCGGGACGGTCGGCTCTTCCGGCTCTGCGGCACTGTCATCGTCCTCCTCTTCGTCTCCCACCGAATGTAAGCCCCAGGCCTGCTCGCAACAGACAGCGCAAGCGAATCCTCAGAGGGAGGCCCATGTCTTTTGTTGCTCTTACAACGTTATGGTTGTGCAGGTTTAACAATTGCACAGAAGTCACCTGGCAAAGGGAGATGTATTACACGTTGGAATAAATAATGCATATGCGTGGCTTCTGTAAAGTGAACTCTGTAACACAAATGCACAAACGTGTTTGCACATTTGCTAATGGCCATTGTTGTGCTTGTGTGTACCAGCACGTTTTGAGCAACCCTTCGATCAATTTGGACAGTTTTCAAATAGGGAAGTTATTTAATAACAAAACCATATTTCTACTTTTGTTTGTTTCACAAATTCTAATTTTTAAAGGAACTATCATTTTCACCCCCCCCCCCCCCACCGCAATCCCGCCGTTACGGATGGTCACACAGATGGAGAGAGAGCCTACGAATAAACACATTCAACCTCCGTTGGAAATCATTGAAGAGAGCCTGACACCACAATGCAGTTCTGTTCCGAGCTTTTGAAGCGTTCCATCTTTCGCGGCTGACCGTGTCAATGCAAGTGCCGCTGGGAGCGAGCACTTGATTGCTCTGCTAGGCGTGTCGATTGCTGGCTTCTCTCGCACGCCCGGCTACCTCGACAACCCCCTCCCCCCAGTAAATAAAATCCCTCATCTGTGTCCTCATCGAACACTGGGGCCGCGCTTAATAGGGCCAGCAGTGGGGTAAAGGGGCCAACTTAAGAGACACTCGAGCTGCGCTTAACAAGAATTATATGTTCTTGGTTCTTTCGGTAAAGTCACGTAGAAGGGAAACAATAAAATGATAAAAATATAAAACAATACAATTCTCACGACGTTTCGACTGCAACACCAGCAATCAGCGTCAGGTGTGAAAACCACAGCTGACGTTAAAAAAAAACGCCACTTTTTTCAAATTTTCTTGCTGTGATTTTCACACCTGATGATGATTGCTTGTGTTGCAGTCGAAACGTCGTGAGAATTGTATTGTTTTATATTTTTATTATTTTGTTGTTTCCCTTCTACGTGACTTTACCAAAAGAACCAAGAATATGAATCCCTGCAGTCACGAAAGCTTTAAATCAACAATAATTATATAACCTGTTTTAAAGTTGCGAGCATTACGCAATACCGAGTTGGTGTTCTTTGGGTGTAACTTTGACCTGGTGTTTTCCTCTCAGGATATTGGCACTCAAGTTGTTATCACATCAGCTGAAAGCATCCGAAAAACGCCAATCCTAGCCCTAGCAAGATAATATTCATGCTGCTGATGTCAGTTTGGTCGAGAGAATAACGATCAAATTCGCAATACGTTACAAAGCCATTTAAAGCTGAGAACGGGAATTGTTGTCGTCAGTTCTGTAATTTAAAATGCTGCCATGGGTGCTAATTATTTTTTAATTTCCTGACTCTAACGTTACCGCTTATGCGCCTTCCCACAAATTCAGATGTACACTGTGAAATGCGTCTGTGATGTGGTGAAACGTTGGTATAAAAATTAAGTGGATTTTCGCTCAGGCATGGAATGTCAATGAATCGGGACTGCGATTGTGAGATAAATTATTTGTCCACAATTCGTGACGAGGGAGGTAATGCTCGTAAAATACCGCGGTGTCGGACGTACTAAGACAAACTGGTTCCTTCATCCATGCCGTGATGGTGCATTCAGTTTCTTCTCTGTCACAACATTGGTTTATTCCAAATGTAATCAAACAAATTTCAAAACGATACCCCATATGTTTTTGGTAAGATGGAATTCAAATTTTTACTGAGGTTGTCTAATTTATAGAACAGCCCTGATATAAACATTGCAAGTAATCAGTGGATGAAAATGATCAGTTTCGTACTGGCACAAACAAAATGAAAAATAAACAAATACAAACTACAACAGCGCGTTAGCGGTTGTACATTAGCACACGTAACAACAGAAACCTAAAACGTTCGTCAATAACCCGGTCCCTGAAAGGAAGAAATATTTAACAAACGGAGTTTCGTGAAATTTTCCTTCATCATAAGAAAAAAGTGGCCATTGCCGAAAAACGTCTTCTGCTATGAAAAGTAATTGCCCCATACATCGCCTATTTTATATCTCTTCCGTTTTAGGGTTAGTGTTACTGACAAATGTGTTGATTTTTTTTGTACAATGTCTCTATTGATATGGCCCAGAACTGATATCGTGTCCTCCAAAAGCACTTGCATGAGCATCTCTACTCTGTATGTGTGTGTGTGTGTCTAAGAGGTGGAACAGGATTAGAGCTGAAAAGGTCTTCACTTGGGAGACTAAGGAACCAAACCTGCCCGAATCACATTACTGCGCCTAATCATTAGCGCAGTATAACGTATAGCTGGATTGTTAATGGAAAAACATAAATAACATGGCACAACCTATGAGGTTTCACGATGTCTTTGAGGAAATTGAGCCATGATTTTTTTGTGGCATCAGGCAGGAAGATATGAAGGCTAGGGCCAACAGAAAGCCACGGGGAGACGCTATTCTTCTTTTGCAAACGTGGTTACATTTTTGTGTGCGAAAACAGAGACGCGTCTGCGGATTTTTGGTCCAGGTAGCGAGCGCTGCTGGGTTTAGCACCAAAACAGTGCTGAAGAGGACACACTCATTGTTATTGTCGAAGAAGCTATTAGATTTTTATGGATGAAAACCTATAAAACGCACACTGTGTATATCTGCATATAACATGTAGAGTATTTTATTGTCAGGTGAAAAGGGCTTGTGCCTTCACCTTATTCCAGCAGATGCATGAACGTACAGTACCACACGTTGCATAAATAGAACCGATTCGGATACCTGGACAACAATCCTCAGTCACTGTGTCTGTTTCGCGCAAATGTAACCACGTTTGCAAAATAAAAAGTGGACCCCGTGGGTTACTGTTAGCTTTAGCCTTCACGTCTTCCTGCCTCATACCGGCAAAAATTCATGGCTGAATTTCGTCATAGAAATCGTGATCTTCATTGGTTCAGCACTCGCAAGCATAGGTTGCAAAGTGTTTTTACTCTGGCTGTCATCTGATGAAGCTGGTTGTAATTACTGGCGAAACGTTGTCCTCGAATTGTAAATGTTGTGGGTTTACTCTCCAACACACCGGTGTGCTGTACTAGTAACTAATTGTCATGATTTGTTTACGTGACAAACCTGAGTAATTGGCTGTGTTGGGGTGGTGGTGGGTTTAACGACACGTTTATTTTTACACGATATAACCCAACAAAAACCCTCTATTATGGAGCGTTATTTATGTTTTCCATAACGTTCCAGCTATGTACGTTAGGCTGTGGTAATAATGAAGCAAAGTGTGATTACCAGATTGGAACACCGAGGAAAACGGCTCTCAATGAAGCCGGCCTCGAAATGAAAACTGTGCTTCATGCGACGTCGCCAACCAATGAAAAGGCCACATTTTTGCCATTGCTGGTGGAAGGGACCCCGCGCTAGAGGGAGCTCTAGCGAGCCCACTCCAGAGGGCATTCTTCCCACTCGACCACACTGGCCAGACGTCTGGGAACAGGTTGTAGTACCCACACTTTACACCACCACACGGGACCCGCTCATCGACTCAGTGCGGCATACCCGTACCGCTGGGTGGCCAGAGGAAGATTTAAGAAGCTTAACCCCGTTGCTTCAGCTGCCGCGCTGGGAGATCAACACGGCGACCTCTGTATTGCAGAATAGGGTAGTGCTCACTCATTATGAATGTTTTTGGAGCTGAGCCCATAAAGATGAATTTCAGCTCTCAATGAGAACCCAAGCTCACAGCCCTGCTCAAAGAGAGCCTCGTGGGGTCAGGGGTCATGGGTTGAGCACACGAGGAGCCCCATGCATGGCCCCGGGGTCACGCGGCCCGTGTGGTTCATCACAGAAAATCAATGCCTCTGCTTTTTGCCAGTCAAAAGGAATATATTTTGGGAAATGCTATAAAACACGACAAAGATACATTTTAGGGCCACTAAATCTCACATTTCTTCCGTTCTCCTCAGAACAAACAAATAAAACTCTGGAGCTCGGACACAGCAAGCAAAACAACAGTGTTATATTCTAAAGGATCGATCAGAAACATCTCTCGGGCTTGCTCTCTACATCGCTTTCCGATTGCGTGTTCTTGCTTTACGGACGTGTTCTTTGCCAAGACATTTAACGTTTTCGCTTCACGTGCTGACAGCTTCCTCGGGAGTTTCACATCCAGGCAACGTGCTGAACGACGTGCGGCACGACCCAAAAAAACACATCGAGGAGCCGTACGCGGCCATATAATTATTTCTGTTGCACCTAATAGCTGCAACGCTGTACACCTTCAACACAAGTCCGTGGGCTGGACGAACATAATGCACTCAAGATCGTTTTTCATTCTCGACGGCCTCACAACGTCATTAGCATGCAAATAACTGAAAGACGACAGTCCCGCACGACGTCCCGTAAAGCCGCTGGCCTTACGCTACGATTTTTATCTTCACCCATTATGCCGGCGACGCGCTGAAACACTGGACGGTTAATTTCCGACAGAGATAACCATTCAGCCTGAATTAAAGCTGCGTCGGCGAGCTCAGCCAAGCACAGCCCAGCCCAGCCCTGCCTTCAAAATATACAAACACTTCGTAAAAAAAAAAAACCGATGTGGCAATACAAATCATGGAGCGACTCTACAAGTGGGGATTACGCGACACACGGCCGTAAAGCATGCCGGCTCAACGCCGCGGGGGCCTCGCGGCAAACACTCTGGACTGGCCCGCGAGAGTAATGAAGCTAAAAAAGACCGTGTCCAACAACCACTCCACAGGAACCCTTCCTTGCAGCGGAGAAGGCTTTTAAAGGCAGCACCCCTGAGGGTGTCCCAGCCACTGAGCCCACGGTTCAGTTGAGCACGGAGCACGTGCGAAAGAACTTGCGTGCAGCGTCACACAGCGGTACTCCTCCTCCTCCTCCATCGCTGCGTTTCCATGACCACTGGTGCCCGGGTACGGCTGCCCGGGAGCAACCCAC